TCGGATGTTGAAGGGTCCCGCAGGTACATGTTGAAAGAAGAAAGGACCGAGCGAAGACTTTTATGATGAATTACAAGCGTGATGGATGAGTAACTGCAGATCCCACAAGTACACATCGGATGGAGAAGGATCCCACGGTACACGTCACATGAAGAAACGATCGAGCGGAGACTTTTATGTCGAATTGCAAGCGTCACGGATGAGTAACTACAGTTCCACAAGTACACGTCGGATGAAGATAGTACCGTACAAAGATCTGTGACAAAACATCATTCGTTACAGATCGAACATTGTTCGTCACAGATGTGAAATTAGTACAATAACGAAGCCCTGTTCATCACAGTATTAAAGAAGATCATCACATATGAGTCACGCGAGTGATCTGTGACGAAACAATGTGCTCTTCTATAACATTTTTTGTGATGATACCTGATTTTGTCATATATAGGGAGGGTTGGAGGATCATCACCACTGATCTATGACGAAACGAAAATATTCATCATAAAAACGCTCTTTTATAATAGTTTCGGATACATCATTAAGATTTTCGTCAAAGAAGTTGATACTTCAGTAGTGTTTGCTAATCTGACAGTGACCATGACCATGAATGGGCCCCAATTAAACCTGTTTCCGAATTCCCTGCAGGCTTGGAGCTGGCAAGTATGTATATATACACATAGTCACACATACATATGGCTCATTTCCAGTTTCGAGCTACTCTTCTCTCTGGAGTCCACAGATAAAGTCACCTCCTCCTTGTCTTCAGAGGCCTTCTGCTTTTCTGCTCACCAAAAATAAAGCACAACCACTCAACCAGCAGGATTGGGAATTTTAGTACTATATACGAGCTAGATATGGTAGAACCTTTTGAAAAGTACCTTCTTTCTGCTGCAAAAAATCTAGTTCACACAAATGACAGGTTTGGGCAACCCAATCACCTTCATCATCAGTTTGTTCTGCAATCACCGAATTAAGATACTCTCAGAAATAATGTCATGTGTTCTGCACGAACGTTGCATCTTCGTGATGCAGCAGGTCAAGTTCATGCGGTATAGCTGTCAGAGCACCGGTAATTGTTTCCTCCAAGCTTCTTATGTCGGCAATTTACTTAACCAATTTAGATAGCAAGTAATGCAAAACATTGTACATCTTCCAAGAGCTAACCAAAGATTGTTCAAGTACATCATGTATACCATTGAGCAACGACATTTAGCTGATCAGGTAACCCTCCAGTAGATGGCTGCTCCTGAGCAAGTTAAGCAGGAGGGCAAGCACAAAAAACACAGGCAATATTAGTGTATGCTGGGAGAACTTAAAGAAAGAAAGGTACTTGATCAGAAAGCCTACATGATATTTGACATATGAACTAGATAATATTCCCAGAATCCAAAATTAATTCTTATATCTACATTTTTATTAGAAAGGGGAGCAAAAGCTTTGCCGCGGTATATACTAGAAGAAACTTATATGCACATAAAAAACTGTATCCAAAGTTGTGCAAATGCTGGCCTTCCATCAGCACTAGATCAGCTTAAACAGAAAGGGAGCATTGGAATATAGATTCATAGTGGTGTAGTCTACTGACGGTCTACAGTCCTTTGAAAGGTCCTTGTGCATGGAATAAAACAAGAGCAATGCAAGATAGTTTCATTTTCAGAATCATATGGATCAGTTGTGGAAGGAATTCATCAGTTAATTTATATGTAAAAAGAAAAATTTTATCCAAAACAGGCTAGAAATTCAATCTGCGTAGTACGTAGGCAGTAGCATTGTAGCATATATGCTGCAATTTCCTGGAAAGACAATATGCACAGTATGATTCCCCCCTCACCCGACCGAGAAGTGCAGATTTCTTTCCTTTTGCTTATTCATTTGGTTAATAACTTACTGCGTTAGAGTTTAATGAAAAAAAATAAAGAGAACAGTACAGATTGAGAGTTTAATTAGTCTGCGCTGTAATTGGTTCATCATGCTTTAGATTGTGTTTTCAGTTGCAGTGAAATTTTAGACCTGCTACATATTTTAGGCCTGGTTATTCTAATAATTTCATGCTTCGGGGGACAAAGGAAGATCTATCTTTATGGTGAAATTGTAAAAACCACATAGTACCACACATTGTGGTAGATAATATAAAATCTTTTCTTCGAAATGAACCTGTGCAGGTGAGCTAGGCCCAGGCCGGCAAAAGCTAGCGCTAGTTTAAATCAGAATCTTAACCTCATTTTTTTGTTCTTTAACCCTTTTGGTACTATAAGTTTGATGATTTCACACCTCGCAAGCACTTTTCAATTAAAATTTGCTTCATCTGATGACCCACTAGGACATCTGAACATAACTTTCACATTTTATCACCACTTGACAACCTTTGCTGCAAAGATTTTGCTAAATAAACTTTCACGTGCGTGTGACTGCTACCCTTTAATTTAAACTTCAAAATATTCTATGTCTATATATGTCCAAGGTAACCATCACAGCAAGTTCACCATTGAGAAAGGCTTAAACAAGAATGATGGTTTCCTGAGATTTGAAATCGGAGAATAAAACCATTTCAGTCATTGGGTATACCTAACCTTTTGTGAATAGTGCGTACTCAATCTGAAAACAATCTAGTAGAAAAAAATCACAAAAATAGACTGTATGTACAAATTGTATGTGTGTTTTAATATTTTGTTCTTCAAGATGGAGGCAGTACGTTTAACAACCTTCCTAAGTAACTCTATCGATATATATAATGGGCATCTAGCTAGATCTAGAAAAATCATAAAACATAATGAAAAATCACAGAACAAATATTCTAAAACCTGAAAAGAAAAATACTGGATGAAATATTATCTTTTTGGTTATTTAAAAATGGCGATTGTCAACCTTTTTGTATATCCTCTATACAAGTCTTGGGATCCAAGGTGCTGGAGACTCTATGGATCATAATACTTGTTGTTTTAGTCTTTTAGAGTTAGCTAAGCACACAAGAATCATAAGGAGGTATATAAAATGACAATTTTACAGTCAATTAATCTCTCTAAAGTGTGCATCGATGGGAAAAGAAGTTATTAGTTAGTGATGCAATAAAGGAGGGTTAAGACTCCAAGGCCAAAGTTGCCTAGAAGTGTAGAACATGTAGTTTATAGAAGACTCTAAATATTTGGAAACAGATACGATGATGAGTTGATAGAGCTAGGGCTATGATCATCTAATGATCTTCATTGGAGTCGAGAAGTTTCTGGTCCTATAAGATGGGGATGCATATTTCCTACTGCCTCCTTCTTTTCCCTTTTTTACTTGGTGTATGTTTTAGACATTGACAGACTCATGTCTTGACTATTACGTACTCTTTTAAGCAACTTTTGTTGGAATTCTATGAAAATGTGTTATTACTCATGAGAAACCTCAGCTAACATATTTTCCATGTGAAAAGTACAAATAGTTCTGTGTATATTCGTGGCAAGAGCTTGTAAAGTCTGTCTGCATGCATCCATGTAAGCTCCATCTATATATTTGAGGTTGGGGGACGTATATATATGTAATTATGTTCACAGTACATTATATTTAAGATATATCATCATACTTTTTTGCGAAGGAGATAAATCATACAATGATGTGCTGATATTGGTCAAGTGTGCATAAATGAAATGACAAATTTGGTGTGTTGGTATAGATTTATGCATTCAGACAACTCATGACAACAGCATATATTATCATAAATAGCAATTGTCGATTGCTTATATATATTATCAACTATTTATGCTTGACCTGTATATTGCAGTCAATCCTTGAGTCTCATGCTTCAATATTGAGATCGTTTAATGTGTTGGCAAGGTCCCAATATCGACCAAAAGTTTCTTCAATGCTGCAAGAGAGATACAATGCACAAAAATATTCTTATTAACTCAAAGAGAAAAGTAATTGTGGATACATAGCTACTGCAAAAACGATTTTCTAAGACGGGCCTTTAGCATTTTCAAAGACGAGCAGCCTGACCGCCATGGTCTGTTTTAGTGGGCTATGTTTAGAGGCGCTGTAAATCCATTAATAGAGGCAGACATCAAAAATGCTCACCTCTGTTAATAGTTCTATATATGTTTCTCATAAAGAAAATACTATCGTAGCTCGATCATTAAAGATAATCTTCCACTTAAGAAATATATGTGCATAATGTTCAAAGCACAAAGAGTGTTCACTACACAAAGGAACTGACTTACCAACAAATCACTTCAAATCTGGTTTGTTGTGAAAAAGCTCTCTATAATGCTTTGATTTGCCTCTCAAAAAAATGCTGTGATTTGCATTTGCACACATATTTCATGCACATGTTTTCGAACTAGCCATATATGCCATTTATTAAGAAAACATTGACCCTCCTCATGTAGTATGAGGGCATGAGGCTATCTGCTTGTACAGTATCTATATTAGTTCCCAGTACTGTCGTCACTAAGTCATGTTGTTTACACAGTAGCCTTGGGCCCTTGGCTAATTAGAAGTTCTAGAACAGCACGATGGGATCTAAGCATGCAGTCTTGTTTGAGTGTTTCTCGTCAGGGCACTACCACATCTGATGATGAAGGTAATGTCCCACTGTGCATATACTGATATACAGTACTGGCATTTGTGAGATTGTTCTTGTTTGCTGTAGATCATTATAGCATGCTCCTTGCACAGTTCACGAGGCGTCCTGGAGTGGATCTGGACAGATCCAGCTTGTTCTAGCCACTGCCCTGTTCGTACTGCCCTGTTCATTTGGCTAATAAACCACGCTAAAAGTACCGTTGGCTATTGAGTCAGAAAAATATTGTTTGTTGAACGAAAAAGTAAGCAGCGCGCGCCGGAACGCGGGGTTTCTAGACGAATCGATCAGCCGCGCGCCTCGAACGCCGCAAAACAAAGAGAAAACTAATTGACCCACAAAGAAAAGCGATCGAGCGATCTAATCGAAGGACACCCAAAACCCCCACAGGAAGGCCAGCTTAAGCCTGCTGCATGATTGATTGTGTGAGAAGTTAAAATCACCTGGAGTCGGCGGAGGCGAACTCGTAGAGGCGGCCGGCGGGGGAGAAGACGACGAGCGCGACCTGGGCGTCGCACAGCACGGAGAGCTCCAAGGCCTTCTTGAACAGCCCGCTCCGGCGCTTGGAGAAGCGCACCTGCCGGCTCGTCCGGTCCTCGATCCGCCGCAGCTCCACCGGGCCGCGCTTCCTCTTCCCCTTGCCCTTCTCCTGCTGCGGCTGCGGCTGCCCCGCCGACCGCCTCGCCGCCGCCCCAATTATTCCTCCTTCCCAAGCCGACCCCAAACAGCAACCTCGCAATGAGAATGAACTTGTACCTTCGCTGCTGCGAGGAGCCGGACGGAAGGACGGATATAAAGAGAGGATCGGAACAAATCTTGGTGATGAGCGAGGCGGGCGAAGGCGACCCAGGGGCGATGAATCCCCTCCCTGCTGCGAAAGTTGTGGTCTTGTGGATGGCAGCAGGACTGCAGGAGGGGTGGGCTCCATGCCTCCTCCTGTCCTCCATCTCCTGCTCCACCTCGAGCGTACACCGCCGCTCGCAGCCCGGCTGTTGCTGTCAGTGTCCGGACCCCTCCCCGGAAAGACGAAGAGCTCGGCGCAAGGACGCGTTTCGCAACGGTATTGGATGCTTCGAGGTCGCTACTGTGGACTGTGGTGTAGAGGAGTTTGCCACCCAGAAATGGCAATGCAAGGTTGTGGCTTCATAGTTTTGTCTGCTTTGCCCCGTCTCAGGGACGCCAAAGCCTCGTCTTCGCCCTAATGGAAGGGAAGCACTTTACTAGATCGACATGTCATTGAATAAAGCTGTGAATTTGTTTTTTAGACGTTATTAATTACCTTTGTTGACCTGGTTGTGACGTTGACACACATCAGCTGAGGCCTTTTCAGGACTAAGACAAGTGGTCACCGTATTATTACTCCCTCAGTAAAAAAAAAAAAAGTATAGGATCCGTACCGGTAAGACTAGTTTAAGTTTGATCAAATTTATACTAAATAGTATTAACATTTATATCTTCAAATAAATTGTTCTATAAATATATTCTATGACTAATTTAACGGTACTTATTTTGTATCATGAATTTTAGTGTTTTTTAATATAAATTTAGTCAAAGTTCATATTGTTTCACTCCTCAAAAAGCTTGAGTTGCATTCTTTTATGGATCCATACTATGTCTTCATACAGTAACAGCTAGTTTGACATAGAGCCATTATTAGAAGGGCACCGGATTATATTAGTCTGGTGCTCGCTTCAAAGGGGGACCGGATCATCCGGTGCCGCCGATTTCTATGAGTAGGGTTCAAACGGCTAGTTCCTAGAGTGGGAAGTATTTATACTCCTCCACCTCGATCGTAGCACCACTCTTGCCATTCAGAATAGTGCCATACACCCATTGGAGAGTTCAAGCTATTTGAGTGATTAGGAATAGCTAATTGTAAGATTAAGGACTACATTAGTGCTTAGGGAGTAACAAGTGTGCCTCCACCTTCCTCATTAGGCTTATTTAGGTAAAGTGTGAGATTGTGCATGTTACTCTTGGTGATTGGCATCACTTACGAGGCTTTGTGGTGTTGAGGAGCTTGGTGATCTCTCGGAGGCGATTGTGAGATGCCCAAGTCATGGTATAATTAAAGGGTCGTGGGTGATTCACCGTGCGGAGCAGCGAAGAATTAACTCGTAGAAGAGCACTTGGTCCTTGTGTGGATCAAGGGGCTCTTGTGCATGTGCTCCAACGAAGACTAGTGTAGAAAGTGTCGACTCTTAGATATCTCGGAAAAATATCATTGTGTTCTTAACCCTCTCTTTACATTGAACATTTACATTTGTGCAATTACTTACATGTTTTTACGTTCCTAGAATTGCATTTCCATATTATCTTAGGTTTGGAACTAGGTTGCAAAACTCTTGTGCCTAGGCTAGAAACATTTTTAGGCACAAGGGGGTGAAATAGGCTAAGGGATAGGTTTTAATTTCACGAGAATTTTATATTAGCCCAATTCACACACACCCTAGGCATCTTGATCCTTTCAAAATGCAATTATGTATACTATATTAATCATGATTGGCGTTTTTTCGTTAACATTATATCCTTGTTGGCTCGACGCATCTATGACTATTTAAAGTTTATGAAGCCTTCAAGTATCTTCTTTTGCAACTAGTTTTCTTGCCCTACTTGTAGAGGGATCGATGATTTTACCCTTCCTTTTATGACTTTGTGAATTTCCTGTCCTGTTTTAAAAAAGAAACTATCGTTTGCCCCTATTTTAGATAGATGCCGGTTGCATAAGAGCCTAACCCTCGAGGAGGTGTGAGATCTTTCATAGGGGTAGTATTGTCGTTTTACCTTTTATCTTGGTTTTTGCATTAGATCCTAAAATGCTACTCTCTCCGTTCTGAATTATAAATCACTTTGACTTTTTTTATACAAATTTTGCTATGTATCTATAGATCTAACGAGTCAAAAGCAATTTATAATTTGGAAGGCGGATGGAGTAAGGGCCTGATTGGTTGGCTACCAAATTTTGCCATGCCGAGGATTTGGTAAACAAAAAATTGGGCAAAAAATTTGCCAAAGATTTGATAAGCCAAATATGAGAAGTTGGTAAGTTTTGATAGTCAACCAAATACTAGTTAAAATCATGGCTTGCCATATCCTTGATATGGCAAATTTTGATAGCCAACCATTTAGACCATAACTTATTTTGGGACAAAGGAAGGGGCTACATGTGTATTTCTACGGTAACTTAGAGATCCGTAGTTTTGTGCATGTCATTAAAAAAATAGAAGGCGACGTGTGGTCATTTCTGCAATTATGAGGTTTACCATTTCCTGATGAAAAAAAAAAACTTGCATGTGAACAACGTGCAAGAAGTACATCCGTGACCGTTAGCCAATTGGATGACGCGGCCCTAGGCAGCAAGTAGGCAGCTTTTACGCGGTCAGGTTACGAGTGCTTGGTCCGCATTGCTTATTCCCACGTGCCAGAATGCTCCCTGTCTCGGCGATCAGCGTTGGACTCCATCAGTCCATCACTCCATGACATGCACAGTACCAGTACCAGTACCAGTTGTACCGATTGAGCCCATGCTTTTGCTTATCCCCAGGAGGAAATGACGCTGTTGCAAGATTTTGCATTTACCACCGGACTAAAACTTTAGTTTATCGTTAGATAATATGCTAAATATAAACCAATTAGTTTTTTTAATGAGTTCTACTCATCAATTAGCCTCTATTAATTTTTATTAGTCCATGATTAATTCATATTTAGACTTTCTATTTGACAACCAAAACATGGTGGAAAGGGTCTGGAATAGAATTTGCTGAGTATTTCTTCGTCCTAGAAAGAATATCGTTTTCTTTTATTTGATTAATTTTATATTAAATATTAACCATATTTATCTTTTTAAATTCTAAATAAGTTTATTACAAATATATATAATAATTAATCTAATAATATTTTTATGCATCATAATTATATTTATTATATATATTTAGTTAAAATTTAAAATATTTGAATTCTTAGAAAGTGAGAATGTCACTTTTTGCAAGTCGAAGGGAGTAGTGACATGAACCATATTTTTCACGGAATACTCTAGAGTGAATCCAAGAAAATCCTTAGAATCCTATGAGCCTGCTAATATCTTTACTAGACGTCCATCTCCATCGATGTTCTAGACCATCACCAAAGGGGGCCGGCTAAGTGTTCTCTTAACACGTCGGGTGATAAGCCTTTTGTAAGCGGATCCGCGAGTATCTTTTCTGTTCTTATATGCTCAAGACTAATTATATGATCCCGGACTTTATCTTTCACAACATAATATTTTATGTCAATGTGTTTGGCAGCACCACTTGACTTATTGTTATGAGCATAACATACTGTTGGATTATTATCGTAGTATAACTTGAGTGGCTTATATATGTCGTCTACCACTTTCAACCCGGATATGAATTTCTTCAGCCAATTCACCTACCCTGTGGCCTCATAACATGCTACAACCTCGGCATATATTGTGGACGATGTAGTGACGGTTTTCTTTAAACTTTTCCACGATATAGCTCCTCCTGCGAGAGTGAATATGTATCCTGACATGGACTTTCTGTCATCTCCCGCATAATCAGAATCTGTATAACCCTCTATGTGCATGGAATCAGATCTTTTGTACGTTAGCATGAGACTCATGGCATGTCAACCGGTTTCCAAGCGAAGTTATCTTTATTGTCCTAGAGAAAGTTGGTGACTGCGAGTTCCTATTCCCTAGAGAGGTGGGCACTGATGGTTTGATGTCTTGGAGGAATCACCAATACCCAGATCAATCTTCATAACATCTGCATCTTGTGGCGGTACAACGATACCTGCCTTCTTTGTCAAAATTTTCAAATCGCTCAGGGCTAGTCTGGCTAGCGAACGCAATGATCTCCTGTGCTTTGAGTGCGGCCTGAGCTTTAGCAGCAATTTGGACGGCTTCTATATCATAGTAGTACGAGCGTTTCAAGTCACCTCGAAGGGGGAGTATCCCATTAGGACCCAGCATCTTTAGCAGAAGATACGGTAGTGAGGAATTGCCATGAATGTAGCCAGAGCTAGGCACCCAAAGATGGCATGATATGATGATTCAAAATCTATCACCTTAAACTTGATGAACTCCATTCGGTAATTGTCTAGGGATCCAAATGTAACCGGGAGCATGATCTGTCCGAGTGGCATAGCGCCTTTGTCGGGTACTATCCCGTAAAAGGGGGTGTCCATGGGTGTGAGTAGGCCGTGAAGTCAAGACCTATCTTCCTCAAGGAATCAGCAAAAATGATGTTCAATCCTGCGCCACCGTCTATCAAGACCTTGGTGACTGTCATGCCCGTGATGGTTGGATCGAGGACTAGTGGGTAATGTCTGGCGTTAGACACACTAGTCCACTAATCCTGCCTTGAAAAGTGAATCGGGTACTCGAACCAGTTGAGATAAGTCGGGGTGGCGGGTTCTAATGCTGCCGCTTGTTCTTGGCAGTCGAACTTCGGCGAAGATGACACCGACGACGCCTTTGGGATGTTGAAAGCCTTTGTCCTCCTGGTCTTCCCCATCTTTCTTACCATCTTCCTTGCCCTTGCCCTTGTCATTCTTATGAAAGAATCCCAACTCCTTCAGTTGTCGGCACTAATCTGTACGTGTGCCTAACGCCTTTGTGAAAAGGGCAAGGTAGTCCACCTAGATCTTCAAACTTCTTCGGCTTATTGTTCTTCTTGGGTTTGTCAATGGAGGCCAGGGTGTTATTGGGGCCTCGCTTTCTGCTTTGTTGCCCACTCTGGTTGCCTCTGTTGTCGTTACCCCTATTGTTGCGGTTGTCCTACCGATCGGGGAATCTCTCCTGAGTTCTTTCCTTGGAGGCGATCATCTTCTGAACAATGTGCTTGAACTCATCTGCATCTTTGGGTTATCATTGTAGAAGGCCTAAAACTACCACTTGGCCTTGATCCCATTTGAAAAGTGATCGATTACCTCCCTCTCGGTAACATTGAAGACTTGGGACCGTAATTCTGCAAAACAGCGATAGTAATCCTAGAAGCTTTTGTTGGGGAGTTGTTGGCAACTTCTAAGATCTATCCGAGTACTCGGATGGGTAAGGACTCCCACAAAGTTGTTGTAGAATTTTCTCGTTAGATCCTCCCAACACATAATCGAACCGGGGCGCAGCTTGTCAAACAATGCGAGAGGTACCGACTCAAGAGCCATGGGGAAATAAAAGTGCCTTAATGTCATCATCTCCACCCACTAGTTCGATCAACTAGGAATAAATGCGAAGCCATTGATTTGGCTCCGTCTTGCCATCATACTTGTTGTGATTGGATGGCTTGAACTTGTAAGGAAGCCGGACAGAGAGTAGTCTGTTGGAGAAACATGGGAACCTGTCTGGGGAGATGGTAGCTTCCCTATACTCAGACTCGCCTCTGCCTTCCCTATTGCTGTACTGGTGCCATTGGTGGCGGTAGGGTGATTGTGCGCCACCCTGACCCCTGTTCTGGTTACCCTGCGGCATGAGCCTTTTGCGTTGGATTGATTGTATGATTGTTAGAGGTATAAGGGGGTGCACCGTGCCTCTCTTTAAATAGGGAGAGAGGGCAAATGTGTGTTTCTAGTCCTAGTCGGTTATGACAGAAGAGTCCTAATTATGTTACAGAATCTTGCTTTCCTAGTAAGCCGACTAGGTCGATCCTTGAAGGCTTGACGTCCACGCCACCTTGCTCCATGTCCTTCAAACAGACCGTTGGCCAGTCATGGGCCTAGCATAGAAGTCGACCCGATAGGGAACCCCCGAGGTCCTGTATCGACATCACTGATGATGCCGGTGTAGTGTCGATGGCCGTTCTTAGTGTCGTAGAAGAAGCTGGCCATAGTCTGAAGCATTAACTTATTGTTGTGCGAGATGAGGCATTTCTAAGAGCGACAGACATATTTGCAGTAGAACAAGGAGCGGGCAGGGAGGCGGCGGAGGATCTCGACAACGACATCGTCCGTGAGGCTGGCTAGTGTGTTCCTCTTGTTGGGACCCTCTATTTCGTTAGTGTGCAGTAGGATGAGAGCTTGCTCAGTAATGAGATCACTAACGAGAAAAATAATCCAACAAAGATAGGTATAAGAGGACGATAATTACAATAGTTTTGAAGGCAGAAGCAATGGGCCTATTTGTTTGCTTAGACAGATAGGTATAATCAAGCAAGCACTTGACAATTAATAGGCCTAGTTGCACACAGGCATTTACAGTAACAAAACTGACCAGTGCCACCTCCTAGTTCTTTTCATCGTCATATCATTGGCCTAACCAGATCTTCAATGCTAGAATATTTCTTGTATACCTTATGTTCAAGCAAGGACGAAAACAATAAAGCGAATAGGAAAAGACGAGAAAGGAGACCTGTGGATCGGATATGTCATCTCTGCCGCGGCACACAACGGACACGAAAGCTAATGCCATCGCGCTCCACAGGCAAGCCCACCGCCCTAGCCTCCAAAAGGACGCTAGAGCCACCACACAACACCGGGGATCCTCCACCGCCGCTAGTCTAATGGGCACAGATTATTTCCACTTGAAGGGGAAATATCCAATATAGGTCAACCTGTAGGGCATCCACACAGAGAATATAATACTATAACGACTCCAAAGACATGTCAATACAACCAGACATCTAGCGCAATGGTAAAGACCGTGTATTCCTTCCTCCGGGTCCCGGGTTCGACTCCCAGGCATTGAGGGTTTTTTTTAATTTATTAAACCCCAACGGTACACAAAAGGTACAAGTGACACGTAAGCCGTTAGGTCCCACAGGTCGAATGGAGATGGAGAAAGGTCCCATAGGTACACATGACACGTGAGCCGTCGGATCCCACAGGTCGCATGGTCCCATAGGTACACGTGACACGCAAGCTGTCGGGTCCCACAGGTCGCATGGTCCCATAGGTACACGTGACATGCAAGTTGTCAGGTCCCACAGGTTGGATGGAGATGGAGAACGGTCCCACAAGTACACGTGACACGTAAGCCGTCGAGTCCCATAGGTCGGATGCTGAAGGGTCCAGCAGGTACACGTCGGAACGAAGAAAGGACCGAACGAAAACTTTTATGACAAATTACAAGCGTCACGGATGAGTAACTGCAGATCCCACATATACACGTTGGATGGAGAAGGGTCCCATAGGTACATGTCACATGAAGAAAGGATCGAGCGAAGACTTTTATGACGAATTGTAAATATCACGGATAAGTAACTATAAGTCCCACAAGTACACATCGAATGAAGACAGTATCGTACGAAGATCTATGACAAAACGCCATTCAGTTACAGATCGAATATTGTTCGTCATAGATGTGAAATTAGTTCAATGACAAAACCATGTTCATCACAATATTAAAGAAGATCATCACAGATAAGTCACGCAAGTGATCTGTGACGAAATCCATGCGCTCTTCTATGACGTTTTTTGTAACGATACCTAATTTCGTCATAGATGGGGAGGGTTGAGGATCATCAACACTGATCTATAATGAAACGAAAATATTCATCATAAAAGCGCTCTTCTATGACAGTTTTGGATTCGTCATTAAAATTTTTGTCATAGAAGTGAATATTTCTAGTAGTGTTTCTGACAGTTGCTGACCATGACCATGAATGGGCCCCAATTAAACCTGTTTCCGAATTCCCTGCAGGCTTGGAGCTGGCAAGTATGTATATATACACATAGTCACACACACATATGGCTCATTTCCAGTTTCGAGCTACTCGTCTCTCTGGAGTCCACAGATATAGTCACCTCCTCCATGTCTTCAGAGGCCTTCTGCTTTTCTGCTCACCAAAAATAAAGCACAACCACTCAACCAGCGGGATTAGGAATTTTAGTACTATATACGAGCTAGATATGGTAGAACCTTTTGAAAAGTACCTTCTTTCTGCTGCAAAAAATCTAGTTCACACAAATGACAGGTTTGGGCAACCCAATCACCTTCATCATCAGTTTGTTCTGCAATCACCGAATTAAGATACTCTCAGAAATAATGTCATGTGTTCTGCACGAACGTTGCATCTTCGTGATGCAGCAGGTCAAGTTCATGCGGTATAGATACTACAAGACATATCTACAATACAGTATGACCCTTATAGCTGTCAGAGCACCGGTAATTGTTTCCTCCAAGCTTCTTATGTCGGCCATGCTCATCCCGTTTGCATTTGCTTCCATGGCCCTGGAATTTACTTAACCAATTTAGATAGCAAGTAATGCAAAACATTGTACATCTTCCAAGAGCTAACCAAAGATTGTTCAAGTACATCATGTATACCATTGAGCAACGACATTTAGCTGATCAGGTAACCCTCCAGTAGATGGCTGCTCCTGAGCAAGTTAAGCAGGAGGGCAAGCACAAAAAAGACAGGCAATATTAGTGTATGCTGGGAGAACTTAAAGAAAGAAAGGTACTTGATCAGAAAGCCTACATGATATTTGACATATGAACTAGATAATATTCCCAGAATCCAAAATTAATTCTTATATCCACATTTTTTTAGAAAGGACAGCAAAAGCTTTGCCGCGGTATATACTAGAAGAAACTTATATGCACATAAAATGCAAGATGTATCCAAAGTTGTGCAAATGCTGGCCTTCCATCAGCACTAGATCAAAAAGCTTAAACAGAAAGGGAGGATTGGAATATAGATTCATAGTGGTGTAGTCTACTGACGGTCTACAGTCCTTTGAAAGGTCCTTGTGCATGGAATAAAACAAGAGCAATGCAAGATAGTTTCATTTTCAGAATCATATGGATCAGTTGTGGAAGGAATTCATCAGTTAATTTATATGTAAAAAGAAAAACTTTATCCAAAACAGGCTAGAAATTCAATCTGCGTAGTACGTAGGCAGTAGCATTGTAGCATATATGCTGCAATTTCCTGGAAAGGCAATATGCACAGTATGATTCCCCCCTCACCCGACCGAGAAGTGCAGATTTCTTTCCTTTTGCTTATTCATTTGGTTAATAACTTACTGCGTTAGAGTTTAATGAAAAAAAACAAAAAGAACAGTACAGATTGAGAGTTTAATTAGTCTGCGCTGTAATTGGTTCATCATGCTTTAGATTGTGTTTTCAGTTGCAGTGAAATTTTAGACCTGCTACAAATTTTAGGCCTGGTTATTCTAATAATTTCATGCTTCGGGGGACAAAGGAAGATCTATCTTTATGGTGAAATTGTAAACCACATAGTACCACACATTGTGGTAGATAATATAAAATCTTTTCTTCGAAATGAACCTGTGCAGGTGAGCTAGGCCCAGGGACTAAAGCAAAAGCTAGCGCTAGTTTAAATCAGAATCTTAACCTCATTTTTTTTTCTCTTAACCCTTTTGGTACTATAAGTTTGATGATTTCACACCTCGCAAGCACTTTTCAATTAAAATTTGCTTCATCTGATGACCCACTAGGACATCTGAACATAACTTTCGCATTTTATCACCACTTGACTACCTTCGCTGCAAAGATTTTGCTAAATAAACTTTCACGTGCGTGTGACTGCTACCCTTTAATTTAAACTTCAAAATATTGTATGTCTATATATGTCCAAGGTAACCATCACAGCAAGTTCACCATTGAGAAAGGCTTAAACAAGAATGATGGTTTCCTGAGATTTGAAATCGGAGAATAAAACCATTTCAGTCATTGGGTATACCTAACCTTTTGTGAATAGTGCGTACTCAATCTGAAAACGATCTAGTAGAAAAAAATCACAAAAATAGACTGTATGTACAAATTGTATGTGTGTTTTAATATTTTGTTCTTCAAGATGGAGTTTCAGTTCCTACATTAACAACCTTCCTAAGTAACTCTATCGATATATATAATGGGCATCTAGCTAGATCTAGAAAAATCATAAAACATAATGAAAAATCACAGAACAAATGTTCTAAAACCTAAAAAGAAAAATACTGGATGAAATATTATCTTTTTGGTTATTTAAAAATGGTGATTGTCAACCTTTTTGTATATCCTATATACAAGCCTTGGGATCCAAGGTGCTGGAGACTCTATGGATCATAATACTTGTTGTTTTAGAGTTAGCTAAGCACACAAGAATCATAAGGAGGTATATAAAATGACAATTTTACAGTCAATTAATCTCTCTAAAGTGTGCATCGATGGGAAAAGAAGTTATTAGTTACAACCCCTTTGGCACGGCTCATCCAAAACGGCTTCACCGGTCAAAGTCTGTTCTCCGGTGAAGCCAGAAAAAACTGGCTTTTAAATCGGCTTCTCAGTTCATTTCTTTAACCCTTTCGGTACTAAAGTTTGATGATTCACACCTGCAAGCACTTTTCGATTTAAAAAATAGATGAAGCGGAAGCTGAACATAACTTTATAAGCACCACTTGACTACCAAAGAGGCCCTTAGTGATGCAATAAAGGAGGGTTAAGACTCCAAGGCCAAACTTCAAAATATTGTATGTCTATATATGTCCAAGGTAACCATCACAGCAAGTTCACCATTGAGAAAGGCTTAAACAAGAATGATGGTTTCCTGAGATTTGAAATCGGAGAATAAAACCATTTCAGTCATTGGGTATACCTAACCTTTTGTGAATAGTGCGTACTCAATCTGAAAACAATCTAGTAGAAAAAAATCACAAAAATAGACTGTATGTACAAATTGTATGTGTGTTTTAATATTTTGTTCTTCAAGATGGTGGCAGTACGTTTAACAACCTTCCTAAGTAACTCTATCGATATATATAATGGGCATCTAGCTAGATCTAGAAAAATCATAAAACATAATGAAAAATCACAGAACAAATATTCTAAAACCTGAAAAGAAAAATACTGGATGAAATAATATCTTTTTGGTTATTTAAAAATGGTGATTGTCAACCTTTTTGTATATCCTCTATACAAGTCTTGGGATCCAAGGTGCTGGAGACTCTATGGATCATAATACTTGTTGTTTTAGAGTTAGCTAAGCAGACAAGAATCATAAGGAGGTATATAAAACGACAATTTTACAGTCAATTAATCTCTCTAAAGTGTGCATCGATGGGAAAAGAAGTTATTAGTTAGTGATGCAATAAAGGAGGGTTAAGACTCCAAGGCCAAAGTTGCCTAGAAGTGTCGAACATGTAGTTTATAGAAGACTCTAAATATTTGGAAACAGATACGATGATGAGTTGATAGAGCTAGGGCTATGATCATCTAATGATCTTCATTGGAGTCGAGAAGCTTCTGGTCCTATAAGCTGGGCATGCATATTTCCTACTGCCTCCTTCTTTTCCCTTTTTTACTTGGTGTATGTTTTAGACATTGACAGACTCATGTCTTGACTATTACGTACTCTTTTAAGCAACTTTTGTTGGAATTCTATGAAAATGTGTTATTACTCATGAGAAACCTCAGCTAACATATTTTCCATGTGAAAAGTACTAATAGTTCTGTGTATATTCGTGGCAAGAGCTTGTAAAGTCTGTCTGCATGCATCCATGTAAGCTCCATCTATATATTTGAGGTTGGGGGACGTATATGTAATTATGTTCACAGTACATTATATTTAAGATATATCATCATACTTTTTTGCGAAGGAGATAAATCATACAATGATGTGCTGATATTGGTCAAGTGTGCATAAATGAAATGACAAATTTGGTGTGCTGGTATAGATTTATGCATTCAGACAACTCATGACAACAGCATATATTATCATAAATAGCAATTGTCGATTGCTTATATATATTATCAACTATTTATGCTTGACCTGTATATTGCAGTCAATCCTTGAGTCTCGTGCTTCAATATTGAGATCGTTTAATGTGTTGGCAAGGTCCCAATATCGACCAAAAGTTTCTTCAATGCTGCAAGAGAGATACAATGCACAAAAATATTCTTATTAACTCAAAGAAAAAAGTAATTGTGGGTACATAGCTACTGCAAAAACGATTTTCTAAGACGGGCCTTTAGCATTTTCAAAGACGAGCAGCCTGACCGCCATGGTCTGTTTTAGTGGGCTATGTTTAGAGGCGCTGTAAATCCATTAATAGAGGCAGACATCATAAAATGCTCACCTCTGTAAATAGTTCTATATATGTTTCTCATAAAGAAAATACTATCGTAGCTCGATCATTAAGTAGATGGATGTTCCCTAAACTAATCACAAACTTCATACAAAATTAAAGATAATCTTCCACTTAAAAAATATATGTGCATAATGTTCAAAGCACAAAGAGTGTTCACTACACAAAGGAACTGACTTACCAAAAAATCACTACAAATCTGGTTTGTTGTGAAAAAGCTCTCTATAATGCTTTGATTTGCCTCTCAAAAAAAATGCTGTGATTTGCATTTGCACACATATTTCATGCACATGTTTTCGAACTAGCCACATATGCCATTTATTAAGAAAACATTGACCCTCCTCATGTAGTATGAGGCTATCTGCTTGTACAGTGTCTATATTAGTTCCCAGTATTGTCGTCACTAAGTCATGTTGTTTACACAGTAGCCTTGGGCCCTTGGCTAATTAGAAGTTCTAGAACAGCACGATGGGATCTAAGCATGCAGTCTTGTTTGAGTGTTTCTCGTCAGGGCACTCCCATATCTCATGATGAAGGTAATGTCCTACTGTGCATATACTGATATACAGTACTGGCATTTGTGAGATTGTTCTTGTTTGCTGTAGATCATTCTAGCATGCTCCTTGCACAGTTCACGAGGCGTCCTGGAGTGGACAGATCCAGCTTGTTCTGGCCACAGCGCGCGCCGGAACGCGGGGTTTCTAGACGAATCGATCAGCCGCGCGCGAACGCCGCAAAACAAAGAGAAAACTAATTGACCCACAAAGAAAAGCGATCGAGCGATCTAATCGAAGGACGCCCAAAACCCCCACAGGAAGGCCAGCTTAAGCCTGCTGCATGATTGATTGTGTGAGAAGTTAAAATCACCTGGAGTCGGCGGAGGCGAACTCGTAGAGGCGGCCGGCGGGGGAGAAGACGACGAGCGCGACCTGGGCGTCGCACAGCACGGAGAGCTCGAAGGCCTTCTTGAACAGCCCGCTCCGGCGCTTGGAGAAGCGCACCTGCCGGCTCGTCCGGTCCTCGATCCGCCGCAGCTCCACCGGGCCGCGCTTCCTCTTCCCCTTGCCCTTCTCCTGCTGCGGCTGCGGCTGCCCCGCCGACCGCCTCGCCGCCGCCTCCATTATTCCTCCTTCCCAAGCCGACCCCAAACAGCAACCTCGCAATGAGAATGAACTTTTACCTTCGCTGCTGCGAGGAGCCGGACGGAAGGACGGATATAAAGAGAGGATCGGAACAAATCTTGGTGATGAGCGAGGCGGGCGAAGGCGACCCAGGGGCGATGAATCCCCTCCCTGCTGCGAAAGTTGTGGTGTTGTGGATGGCAGCAGGACTGCAGGAGGGCTGGGCTCCATGCCTCCTCCTGTCCTCCATCTCCTGCTCCACCTCGAGCGATGGGTAAAGGCTACACCGCCGCTCGCAGCCCGGCTGTTGCTGTCAGTGTCCGGACCCCTCCCCGAAAGACGAAGAGCTCGGCGCAAGGACGCGTTTCGCAACGGTATTGGATGCTTCGAGGTCGCTACTGTGGACAGTGTGGTGTAGAGGAGTTTGCCACCCAGAAATGGCAAGTTTGTGGCTTCATAGTTTTGTCTGCTTTGCCCCGTCTCAGGGACGCCAAAGCCTCGTCTTCGCCCTAATGGAAGGGAAGCACTTCACTAGATCGACGTGTCATCGAATAAAGCTGTGAATTTGTTTTTTTAGACGTTATTAATTACCTTTGTTGACCTGGTTGTGACGTTGACACACATCAGCTGAGTCCTTTTCAGGACTAATTGCACTAATCAGCCAGCTTATTAGCTAGAATCTACAGTATTTTTCTCTCACAACAAAACAGCTTCAGGCAGGTTTAATACCAGCCGAACAGGCCATAAGACAAGTGGTCACCGTATTACTCCCTCAGTTAAAAAAAATACAAGTATAGGATCCGTACCGGTCACACTAGTTTAGTTTGATCAAATTTATACTAAATAGTATTAGCATTTATATCTTTAAATAAATTATTCTATAAATATATTCTATGACTAATCTAACGGTACTTATTTTGTATCATGAATATTAGTGTTCTTTTTATATAAATTTAGTCAAACTTCATATCGTTTCACTCCTCAAAAAGCTTGAGTTGCATTCTTTTATGGATCCATACTGTGTCGTCGTACAGTAACAGCTAGTTTGACATAGAGCCATTATTAGAAGGGCACCAGATTATATTAGTCTGGTGCTCGCTTCAAAGGGGGGACCAGATCATCCGGTGCCGCCGATTTCTATGAGTAGGGTTCAAATGGCTAGTTCCTGGAGTGGGAAGTATTTATACTCCTCCACCTCGACCGTAGCACCACTCTTGCCATTCAGAATATATAGTGTCATACACCCATTGGAGAGTTCAAGCTATTAGAGTGATTAGGAATTGCTAATTGTACGATTAAGGACTCCATTAATGCTTATGGAGTAGCAAGTGTGCATCTACCTTTCTCATTAGGCTTATTTAGGTAAAGTGTGAGTTTGTGCATGTTACTCTTGTTGATTGGCATCACTTACGAGGCTTGGTGGTGTTGAGGAGCTTGGTGATCTCTCGGAGGCGATTGTGAGATGCCCAAGTCATGGTATAATTAAAGGGTTGTGGGTGATTCACCGTGCGAAGCAGCGAAGAATTAACTCGTAGAGAGCACTTGGTCCTTGTGTGGATCAAGGGGCTCTTGTGCAGGTGCTCCAACGAAGACTAGTTGAGAGTGTCGACTCTTAGATATCTCGGGAAAATATCATTGTGTTCCTAACCCTCTCTTTACATTGAACATTTACATTTGTGCAATTACTTACATGTTTTTACGTTCCTAGAATTGCATTTCCATATTATCTTAGGTTTGGAACTAGGTTGCAAAACTCTTGTACCTAGGCTAGAAACACTTTTAGGCACAAGGGGTGAAATAGGCTAAGTGATAGGTTTTAATTTCATGAGAATTTTATATTAGCCCAATTCACACACAACTGAGACATCTTGATCCTTTCAAAATGCAATTATGTATACTATATTAATCATGATTGGTGTTTTTTTTGTTAACATTATATCCTTGTTGGCTCGACGCATCTATGACTATTTAAAGTTTATGAAGCCCTCAGGTATCTTCTTTTGCAATCTAGTGTTCTTGCCCCACTTGTAGAGGGATCAATGATTTTACCCTTCCTTTTATAACTTTGTGAAATTCCTGTCCTGTTTTAAAAAAAGAAATTGTGGTTTGCCCCTATTTTAGATAGATGCCGGTTGCATAAGAGCCTAACCCTCGAGGAGGTGTGAGATCTTTCATAGGGGTAGTATTGTCGTTTTACCTTTTATCTTGGTGTTCACGTTAGATCCTAAAATGCTACTCCTCCGTTCTAAATTATAAATCGCTTTGACTTTTTTATATAAATTTTGCTATGTATCTGTAGATCTAACGAGTCAAAGCAACTTATAATTTGGAAGATGGATAGAGTAAGGGCCTGATTGGTTGGTTACCAAATTTTGCCATGCCAAGGATTTGACAAAACAAAAATTAAGCAAAAAATTTACCAAAGATTTGACAAGCCAAATATGAGAAGTTGACTAGTTTTGGTAATCAACCAAGTACTAGTCAAAATCATGACTTACCAAATCCTTGATATGTCAAATTTTGATAGCCAATCAATCAGACCCTAACTTATTTTAGGACAATGAAGGGGCTACATGTGTATTTCTACGGTAAGTTAGAGATCCGTAGTTTTCTGCATGTCATTAAAAAAATAGAAGGCAACGTGTGGTCATTTCTGCAATTATGAGGTTTACCATTTCCTGATGAAAAAAAAACTTGCATGTGAACAACGTGCAAGAAGTACATCCGTGACCGTGAGCCAATTGGATGACGCGGCCCTAGGCAGCAAGTTGGCAGCTTTTACGCGGTCAGGTTACGAGTGCTTGGTCCGCATTGCTTATTCCCACGTGCGCCTGTTGGTAAACAATCATAAATTTTTAATTAGGAATAGTGTTTTTCTCTCACACTAAACCAGCCAATAATAAATAATTCATAATACGATACGGCCTCCCGAACATGCTGCAGAATGCTCCCTGTCTCGGCGATCAGCGTTGGACACCATCAGTCCATCACTCCATGACATGTACAGTACCCGTACCAGTACCAGTACAGTACCAGTTGTACCGATTGAGCCCATGCTTTTGCTTCTCCCCAGGAGGAAATGACGCTGTTGCAAGATTTTGCATTTACCACCGGACTAAAACTTTAGTTTATCGTTAGATAATATACTAAATATAAACCAATTAGTTTTTTTAATGAGTTCTACTCATCAATTAGCCTCTATTAATTTTTATTAGTCCATGATTAATTCATATTTAGACTTTCTATTTGACAACCAAAACATGGAGGAAAGGGTCTGGAATAGAATTTGCTGAGTATTCCTTCGTCCTAGAAAGAATATTGTTTTCTTTTATTTGATTAATTTTATATTAAATATTAACCATATTTACCTTTCTAAATTCTAAATAATATGGTGCTCGCACGCACGACGACGAGCGCGGCTCGGTCGTCTTCCCACGTGCCGGCGAGGCGGCGGCAGGTCCTTCTTCCCGCCCGCGGCGGTAGCGACGGCAGCAAGAAAACAGGGTAGGTCCTCCCCTTCTCTGTCCTTACTTTCTTTGGTTAGGGTTAGGGTTTTGGGTTAGGGTTTTGGGTTAGGGTTTCTGTCGGTGTTTTGGACTGGAGGGTCCTCAACCGACTAGTGAAAGTGTACTGCGTGTTTCTAATCCTGGATGGTGATGCAAAGAGACACAAGGTTTATACTGGTTCAGGCAATAGGTGCCCTACGTCCAGTCTGAGGGAACGATCTCGTATTCCTTGCACCAAGGTGCTTGTAGTAGGGGCTTACAAGCTTGGCGAGAGAGGGAGCTAGCCCCAGGTCTCTGTGAATTGCGGTGTGGGTTGCTTGAGATATTGATCTCTTGCAGTGAAGGAGTGTGCGTGTTACAGAGTGTTGTGCGTGGCTTGCACCGGTGTCTCCCCCTGCCTAGAAGCGGCCCTGGTCACTCCCTTTTATAGTCGAAGGGAGGCACAGGGGCGGTACATGTATTTGCTATGTGGCGTTCTTCGGTAGGGGCGGCATGTCCGAGCCCTGCAGCTTGTCACTGTGGCGGCGTGGTCGGTGGAGTGGTCTTGTCTTCCGTGCACTAGAGCGACGCGCCGGTCACGCCCGATCCTATGCGACGTGGGAGCTCCTGTGGTGGCAGGCGCACCTTCTTCTGTTGGAGGCATGCTGGTTACTGTATGTTTGACCGGTGCGGAGTGCCGAGGCCGGGTTGATGCGATGGCGCGGGTACGCTGATTCCGAGGCTATAGGAGCTAGGCCCTGTGCACGACGTGGGAGCTCTCTGCACTGACGCAGGCATGGCGCGATCTTTGCGCGCGTGTCGGGCCCCCAGAGCGCTGACAACATAGAGTGCCGATGCCCAGTCGATGCAGAGGCTGGACCATCGTGGGGGGCTCGGCGGCGCGCGAAAGTACCAAGGCTACAGGAGCCTGCGGCGGTAGCCGAGGCTCGGAGGGAGCAGCTTGGCCTTGCACGCTGCTTTCCGAGGCTACAGGGACCCGGACGTGACTTTCCTCGCGCAGGTGGGTTAAGCAAAGACAACAGTACACGGACGTCCGTCGTGGCACAAAGGTGCCGAGCACGGTGGTAGGTAACCCCCCCCCCTGTCCCCTCTCGAATAGCATGGGGTCGATATGACACCTATCTCGCCGCCACCTCCGTTATCTTCTACCGACGTCGGTACCGACGTCATGGGAGTGGTTGAACGTGTTAGTTGGATGTGACATCTCGTCAGAGAAGCCAGTCAAGGCGGCGGTGACGGGGTTGATGCCGAGCCAGCCTCGAGCGAGTCGGTAACTGGGTGCTAGTCCGAGGCCTTGCGGCGTGGGGCCTCGGGCGAGTCGGAGAGTCGGTACCTCGTCCGAGGCCTTGCGGCGCGAGGCCTCGAGCGAGTCGGAGAATCGGTACATCGTCCGGGGCTTTGCGGTGTGGGGCCTCGGGCGAGTCAGAGAATCGGTACCTCGTCCGAGGCCTTGCGGTGTGGGGCCTCGGTTGGGCCCGGATATTTGTTCGAGGT